ACTCTCTTTCTCCTTCTGCAAGTTGGGAAGCTGAAACAATTCTCCTTCACTTACAGACCAAAGAGTTTATATCCATGCCACGCATTCCTTAAAGTGCTCTGATATTTCCTGTAGGTCACGGGGGCAGCCAAAGCTAAAATCTAATCAGGAATTTTCCCCGACCAGACCAGTTCGGCTTGACCAGTTGGAAGTGCAGGGTCACTGAAACAAGGAATGGGACATGGAAGAAAGGTGAAGACCAAGACCTGGAGACCTTGCCAGATGAGTGGGGGACAGAATGAACATTCTATGGAAGCCATCATGCATGGCACTTTTCTGTCAATAACGTGGCACTTTTCCTCTGATGACTCGGAATTTGGAGAAGCAGTGCGGTTCAGGGGCAAGAGGTGGGCTTTGGGAGTTAGACCCACTCGGTGCAAATCCCAGCTCTGTAATTTGTTGGCCATAGGGTTCTTAGTCCTTGATTTCCTCCTCTGTAAAATGGGGATAATTACCTCACAAGGCTGTCATGGGAACTAAACAGCAGAGTAGGATGCTCAAGAACAATGGGTTTTGGAGGCTGAGTCTTGGGTGTTCTGCTTACTGGGAGACTCTGGACTGCTTACACAATGTCTGCACTTTACTTTCCTCATCTGTAAAATGGGATCATAACAGTGACACTCCCTCAGCATTGTAGTGAGGATTAAATGAGATAAGACCTGATGCACAGAAAGCTCTAAGAAAAGAGTAGCTACCGGGCAGCACAGCTGTTAAGAGCATCCGTGTCGGGGGTTGAGACCTGCATTTGAATGGCACCTCTGCCGTGTACTAGTTGCATGATCTTGAGCTTGTGATTTCACCTCATGCCTCAATCTCCTCATCTTAAAACAGGGGCAATAATAATATGTGCCTGGGGGGTTTGAAAAGAGGATTAAATAAGATGATATATGTAAAGTGTTCAGAACAGCATCTGGCACCTAGCAAGTGTTCTAGAAATACTCATTATTTGATTATTCTAATTTCCATTCCCTTTCCTGGTGTCTGTCGGATTTCCTCTCCTATCTAGGTAAAGAGAGGCTGCACCGCAGGCTGACGAGAATGGCTCTGAATGGGGCGGCCAGGGTCTCTGTGGGCCTGGGGCTCTGTGGTTTCCTGTGCCTCCTTCACAGCCTCCGGTCTCAGGCCCTGCCACTTCAGAGTGGGTCCAGGGGCCTGGGGGCCCCATTTTGGAGCTGGCTTTGCGGTCAGGCAGTCATAATCTGTCCCTCGAGCCACACCAGAGTCTCATTAAAACGTGCCCCATAAATGTTAAAAAATTTACACATAAAAAAATTCCATGCATGAAACTGAAACCATACATTTTACAGCCTCGGTTTGAAATCTTGCATAATATATAAAATCTTGGCTCTGCACTGGGGGCCCGTAAATCAGATTTTATAAAACAAAAAGCTTATACTTTTCAAAGGGGTTTAGGGAACTTGCAAATTTTACAAACTTTACCAAGCCAGTCAGAGGCTTCTGGGTCCAAGCAGGGTTGCTGAGAGTGCCAGGTACAAAAGAGGCCTGGTGATCCCTGCGGTGGTGTAGGAACTGGAGTGGAGGGTATCCCCGGGGGAGCGCTCGAGGGGCATTCCAGCTTAGCCACCGTGGGCATGGAAAGCTGCCCCCAGAGCAGTGAAATGGGGAGGTCAGCAGGTCAGAGAGTGTGGGGTGATGAGATGTGGGTGGTACTGTTTGTAACTGGGGGCTTTCTTGCCCCCAGGAAGGAGGAGCTGGGGTGACCTGCAGGAGGAGCGCTGTATCAGGAGTCAGCGCCCCTGGATCCTGGTCCTGTCATTTCCCTCCTCTGGACGGCAGTGGCCCCATCTGTGAAATGGGTAGTGGGTGGACTGGACTTGCTTCTCTCTAATGTTTTATGATACTAAGTTTCTCTTCCTACAAGTACACTGTGGGAGCAGCTGGCCAACCCGGGAAGGGAAGTTCCCTCAGAGTCCTGCAATCTGGGGACCTCTCTGAACTTTGGGCCGCTCAGTCAGCTGTTCCCATGGGAGCTAGCCTGGGAGACAGCCTGAGCAGGGACAGTACCGCACACTGGGGGGCGGTTTGCTTGGAGGGAGGAGGACGACCAGCTGGAGGCAGAGGATTGATGTCCCGGTGGTGGGCCTGCTGGGCTGGGGACTATAGGCTCCCTGGGCCTGGAGGGTGGGACAAAGTTTTTGGGAACCCCAGTGTCCTCCTGACAATCCTGTGTATGAAAGTCAAGATTCAAGGGCAAAGGAAAGCCGCCCTGACACACATATATATAAAAAATAAATCTCTCAATTATCTCAGCTCATTTGCTTGGGGTCTCTCATTTTATGTCCCTGCTCCGCTGCGCAGTATATCTGTCCGGATAAAGAGTTACAGTCCGTTGGGCTACGTGTGCGGGGTTGTAAAAAATACAGATGCCAAATTAACTGGCTGTGGCACTCAGCAGCTGATTGAGCTGATAATGACGCGATCTGACCTTTTTCTAATTTCTAATTATGTGCATCTCAGCTGTGCTGGCTACATGATTCTTGTTCTAATGATGACTTCTGTGGTTGGTCTCCTCATCTCCCCCTTCCTGACACAGGATTACAAGTGGGGTGGCAGAGGGCACTGCATGACTCCCCAAATAAAGTTTCAGGGTCCCAGCCGCAGGGTCTCTCTGATGGCCACGGGGTGAGGTGGAAGCTGGGACTGCCTGCCTTACTGATACTGCATTGAGATTAACCTTCTGGCTGCTGTGCATTTTTAAAGGCCATTTAGTTCCACAAGCCATCTCATTAATCTTTTTATTACCATCACATGAGATCGGTGTAAGGTCTACAGACGAGGAAACTGAGCTACAAAGGAGTTAGATCATCAAAGTCACACAGATGCTAAGATGCTAGCCTTGGCCCCTTCAGCTCTGTTTAAATAACCCGTTGGTCAGCCCGTCATTGACTATGATGACCTCATGTAGCTAAATCAGGTCCATGCGAATGGGTGGGCAGTCCAAGGATTGCATCACCAGCTGGACCATTCCCGGCCCTGTCACCTGACACAGACCAGGGAACACCAGAGGTGTGGGGCCATGGGGGCAGTTTTGACAACATTCATATCCCTGGGTCAGGCTTGGCACATAGCAGACACTTAAACAGGTTTGGCTGGACTGAATCAAGAAATCCACTTTTTCGAGGAAACAGAACCCAGAGAGACCCAGGTGGTGTTGGCAAGGGAGAGCATGGAGCTGACCACTTTTTGGTATTTTACAGGCTGTACTAGAATAGAGAAGGCTGTGCTTCGTGGGTCTTCCATAGCTTAGCTGGCAGGCGGTGGTGGGCAAGGTATGTGAGGTTTGTTTCCCCAGGACTCCTACTTTTTAAGAAGGCATAAATTCTTTCACATGACTCAGCCTGATATTAAGTATTTCCTACCATCGTCACCCTGTTTCTTTTGTGTCAAGGGAGGGGAGTGGACTATGGCCCCCGAGGTCCATTCTCGCTCCTGAAGAAATGGGTGCCTCGTCTCCCGGCACCATGGCTGCTGGAGGACTAGGTTCTGAAGGCCCGCTCATAGCTGCAGTTCTGAGACTCTGGTCAGCAAGGCCAGACCAGCCTGCACTGATTGCCCTGTGAATCAGAGGACCTGCATGGGGAAAGCTCTCCCAGGGGACCTGAGAGACAGTGGTTTAGGCTCCTGGGAAGTGCGGCTGCTCAATCCCAGCCAGGAAAAAGGCAGGGCCAGGGATGAGCAGAGGTGGATCTGGGGCCCTCAGATAGGGACACCAAGACTCCTGATGGCAGGCAAGTGCTTATCCTCTGGCGCCTACCCCCTCCCTCTGAATACTGGCCCCATCAGAACACTTCACAAACTGCCAAGCTGGGGTGGGTTCTCCTGGCAGCTCTGAGGTCTCCATAAAGAATATTATTGAACTCTTGAGAAAAGCAGTGGGGTGGAATTCACAGCACAGAATAATACCTGAATCCGTTAAATCGGCTCTGCAGGTACACTGTTGTGTGTGTGTGTGTGTCTGTGTGTGTGTGTCTGTGTGTGTACATTTTCTTCCTTCCTTTTCTGGAACCACATTTGCTTTTCTAATTCTGTTTCCTTTTTGGGAGTGGGTGTCTGGTGGCTAAACTCTAGATGCAAGAGATTGGAACTCTGGCGAGTCAGTTTGTGAAGGAGGTTTCCAAATTCACTGTGCATAATCTGGATAATCCACCCGCCGAAAATATCAAGAATTGTGGTTAACAATCCTAGGGTGACTCTCTCATGATGACCAGAGTAGCTTCTCTACTGCTCTCTTAGCCGAATTCCCGGGGCTAGATGAGAATTTCAGATGTCATCTAATCTAGTGGCTCCCAAACCTTATTGCAGATTGCAATTTCCCGGGAAACTAAAAAATGTAGACTCACAGGCCCCACCAAACTTTTTAAATTACAAGGTGCAGGTGGCAGGCCCCAGGACTATCTATTAACAAACCTGCAATGATGATCTGGATGGCAGGCTGGGTGGAGGAGCCTGATCCGCTGGTCCCCCTAAAAGGGCAAGACACCTGGCAGCTTTCTGCTCAGCATGACCGTGTCTCCAGGGCTTTCTCTCCATTGATGTGTTTGACTCAGCCTGTAACCCTCGCCCTCCACGTGGTAGCACACCAGCCATCATCTTTGTCTGACCAGACCTACTAACATGTCGGGACTCCAGTCCTCAGAACAGATGCCCCAGACAGTCTGGCATCTAGGACCCTCCTTTCCTCCCGTCCGCATTGTGAGGGGGTCGGCGCTGCTGCGAGCAGAGAAAGGGTTGCTCTGGCAGCACAGCCTGCAGGCAAGTCTTGGTTTGAGGAGCTCAGAGATGGTTCCTGGCTACTCAATGGGTGAGTCTAGTGCCAGCCCCACCGTGGTGGCCGGCCCCCCCAGATTTTTGCTGAATGAATGAAGGATCATTTCTAGGGCATTTGGAGGGATCAGAGGGTAGGAAGACCCTAGCCAGGGTGGGTGTGGGAAGGTCTTTACCAGATTGTCCAGTTCTGGGTCATCGCTGAAGAAGGGTTTGTGCTCCTGCTCCTGCTGGTGGACAAAGTTCTCGATGTCCACATCAAAGCTGGCGGAGGTGATGCACTCAGAGCCCTGGGTGGCCTGTTCACATTTCTCAAACAGCAGCGTCAGGAGCGGGAAAAGAGGGTGCCTGCAGGGACATCAAGAGCTCACACATGCGTACACAGACAGGGTTGGGCTCAGAAGCCCCCAGGGCCCTCTCCCACATTCCTGTCACTTCTCCCAAGGTCCCACTCCTTGGGAATGTCCCCAGGCTCCATGGTCAGCCTAGATGCCAGCATTACATGCCCTGGCATGGACGCTCTGTCTCCTGGCTTGCGCTCCTCATCACTGGGGCCTAGCTTCTCTTTCTACTCAGATAAACCACGTGTATTTGGTCAGAAGTGATGGGTATAACCTTTCAAAGAACTAGGTGTCCATTTCTGGTTCAAGGTCAACCCCGGGAGGAAATGTGGGGAGTGTCCAGAAGAGTCCAGGACATGAGTGTTTGTGGTTGGCCATTAAACCCACTCTTGGCGGTCTGGGGCCAGCCGAGGGAGGGCAGCACATGGGCACATGCGTGTGTGAGTGTTTGCAGGGGGAGGTGTGTAAGCCAGAATACTCATCCACACGTGGCGGCTGCGTATCTCCACCTGTCCTGGGTCTCTCAGCTGTCTCAGTTTCGGGCAGATACCCGGTCACACGTGTGATATCTCCTTGTGATTTGCCATCACCCACACTTAGACCAACTATAATTCAATGACTATTGGCAGCACTGTTTTCCTTCAAGACTGTCTCTGTCTGCACGGTCACTGTCTCCTGAGGACCTGCCCTGCATGCTCATTCAGGCACTTGATAAATACTTGGTGACTGACAATGAATCAGTGAATGGAGACACGTGAGTGTGAGCAGGTGTGTGTGTGTTTCTCTGCTGTATTATGGAAGCTAACATTCTTACCTGGCTGGCTCTGTGGGTCTCAGCCTAGACCCCACTGACTCTGGCAAGTCCCCCAGAGTTCCCCTTCCTCTAATCTATGCTAATGGCTTCCTGAGCTGTTTGCTTTATTATCTGCCTTCCTCACTAGAGGAAGCTCCATGAGGGCAGGAATCTACCCACCTTATTCATCACTGTCTGTCCAGAGTCTAGTAGAAGTATGTGGATCCCAATACCATATAATACATGTTATGTGTGTGCCTATTTGCTTATGTAAGTGCATATCATTCTAATTTCTCTGCAGCATGTGTGAACAACTGTGTCTTGACATGTAGCACACGTGCATGTGTTTGTATGGGTTGCCAGCAATGGGTTCTGGCGCCCCACTCCCTGCCACTGTGCTTCTGGAAAAGCATGGACCCATCACTCTCTGGTCTCCTTCCTCAGTCCCTTTACCATGAAATCTGGCTTCTTTCTTTTTGATCAAGCCCTGCTTGCTGGGAGAGGAGGAAGGATGTGTGTTGGGTCTGGCCCCCAGGGCTCTGCCAACAGGGATATTCTAGCCAGCACTGCCAGGAGAACTTTCTGCAATGATGGAAATATTCTACAATCTCCACTGTCCAGTATGGTGACCACTAACTACATGAGGCCATCAAACACTTCAAATATGACTGCTGTGTCTAGGACACTGAGCTTTCTTAGCCATCTTACTTAATTTTAACTGAAATAGCCACATGTGGCCAGTGGCTGCCATACTGGAGAGCACAGTAAGTCTTGGAGAGGAAAACAGACCATGCTTTCCTCCCCAGCAAACTGTGACTGAACGTACTGAGAGGAGGACTGAACGTCCAGCCTGCACAGCGTTCAGGCAGATGGGGGGGGCCCCGTGAGCCTGTCCCATTCTGGCATTTTAGTGATTCTAGGCAAAAAGACAGAGGTGCTTCATCTTGCCCACACCCACACCTATTCACACCTACCCTTACTGGTCATTCTACTCAGGCTCAGGGGCAGTGGGACAGGAGGGGAACACATTCCTGCTTCGGAGGAGCTGTGTGGCTGGGCAGCCTGCCTCTGGACACCACCTCTCAGCCCTTGTTTTGGTTGCTGATGCATAAATTGCTGGGCCCTGAGGCTGCAGTCCAGCTTATAGTTCGGAGGAGGGGAAAAAGGGTCAGTATCTGAGGCTAGAGCATGTGCAGCCCCCAGTTGCAAAAAGGTCTATTCAGCCCCCACAGGAAGCTGGCAGGGAAAACAATGAGCTCTCTTAGCCATGGACTGAAGACAAAGAGAAAACCAGGTGAAGGGGTTAAACTCCAGTGTAAGTCTTCATTTGCAGCCACTAATACCGCAGCATATTATAGTCTAATCTAACCTGATCCCAGTTTAATGCAAGATTCTCCTGGCCCTGAGTGGAATACCAAAGAAAGCCTCGGTGGCTGTGATTTAAGCAGAGCCCTGCAGTGGTTTAGCTGAGGGACATGAAAGGCAAATTCCAGACGGTGTTATGAATTATTGCGCCTTATGAACCTTCCTACTCTCAACAGATGCCTGCTGCCATTTAAACAGCCACTAGATCAATTAGGAATGAAAGGCACAAATCGACTCTGTACAAGGGCACTAAATTACCAGGAACTAATAATCCGCAGCATCGTGCCAGGTGGTGGGGGTGCAGCCCCCACCCAACGCCGCGGCAGTCGCTGGTCACTGCACATTCCTTTCTCACTGGTTGGAGGGAGGGTGGGCAGCTGCCGAATGCGGAGGGGATGGTCTGTGTGTGTGTGCACATACACACGTGTGTGCCTGGGTTGACTGTAGGCTGTCAGTGAGAGTGTGAGAGGTGTGTAAATGTGCTGTTGTGTGTGTTTTTAGTGTATGCACCCATTGCATTTATGCAGTACATGTGCACATGTGTGTATAGAATGGGGTGCAGATTTGGTGTGCCATGAATACAATGGGCATATGCCCTACACTGTGTGCAGTATATGTGCCTGTGCTACGTGCTATTTGTATGTGATTTGTGTGAGGGGATTGTGTGTTCTGTGTACACAGCATGAGCACGTGTGGGGTTGGGTGAGGGGTGTCTGCCAGTGATGAGTCTCCCAGTTATTTGCACTAGAGTTGGAACGTGGGGAGAGGAGGGTAGTCGTTGCCACTGTCCATGGGCCCCGGGAGAAGAGTGGTCAGGGAGGGCCTCTCTGAGGAGGTGACATTTAAGTTAAGCTTTGGATGATGAGGAGGCAGTCATGCAAAGATCTGAGGGACAGGTGAAAAAGCAGGAGAAAAAGCAAAGCACTTTAGATAGGAATGACCTTGGCATGTTTCTGGAACATAATCTGACGAGTGTGCCTTGAGGAAGGTAGACAGAAGGGCTGTGGAGGGAGATGAGGTTGGAGAGGTAAGCAGGTGTCAAATCAGAGGCTGGGGGTGAGGTGGGTGTTCTCATCGTCACATGCACTGGGTAACAAGGTGCACCTTCTGTGCAGAGCCATGGCATGGCTTTTTTTCATAAACTTCTCACTTGCAGGTGTTAGATCTCCCAAGAGTATGTGTGCATATGCATGTGTGGATGGGGGGCAATATCTGTAGTGCTTTCTGTGGCTTCTGCTCTCTCTCAAAAGAAGAAAACATGTTTTCTGCCCCCCACCCCCTCAAATTAATCCACAGAGCACAGAGCAGATGTCATGGATGCTGGCATGGCCACCTCTCTCCAGTCCCTTCTTCCCTGGGTGGCACTATCAGCTCCCAAGTCCTTCCTTCTCATACCTGACCCTCCCTAGGCTCCTGCATCTCGTTCCGCCCACTACAATCCCTGGATCCTTGAGCCCAGAAGCTCAGATGGCATCAGATCTTACCCACAGCTTTTCGTATGAACCATAGGCAGGGCCAGGGGGCTCCCTGAGACCCCATGCTCTATCCACCTTGATCCCTTGATAAACCCACACTGCCACCTGCTACCTGCTACCTCAAATGTGGGGACCAGAGGCACTCAGCACCACTCCCGGAGAAACAGGAGCAGTCTCCCAGCGACTCAGCTGGGTTCTGTGGCTGTGGTCATGCCACGGCTTCTCTAAGGTTGCTCCCAGCCCTGTTCCCAGCCCCTTCCCCAGCTGCCCAGCTGGCACTTGCCTGAGGGTTGACATATTTCTGAGCTACTGTCCAGCATCACCCCCATAAGGCTGGAGGCCACCCTCAAGGAATCCCTCCCAGCAGCCCCTGCTGCAGGCCGGAGGCAGGTGTGGTGAGGCGGCTGGGCGGGGACCATGACAGTTGGGCATTTCAGCCACCTGGGACATGAATGGCCCTGTCTGAGCCAGGTATGGGATGAGAAGGACTTCCAGTTAGGTGTAGGATTCTTTTATACTTGGCCTTGCCTGAGTTGCAGTTTATCCAAATAAAGTGGGTTTTAAGGAGTTCTGCTGCTGCTGTCTAGATCTCTCCCATTGTGGATCAATACCCTTCAGGCAAGAGGCAGGAAAGGGGAAACTCGGTTCCCAGTGCCCAGGCAATGAAGTAGATAGGAGAGATGGCCATTAGACTTTATTTCCAAAGAGCCGAGGACATTTGACCTCCGTAAGAGCTCACCTTCTGCTTCCCTGATCTTTCTCTGTTCTCCGCTCTTCTCCCCCACATCACCTCCGGCCCGACCGCCCCCTCCACCCCAATCTCTCTTAAGCCTTTCAAAATTTGGAGGAAATAAATCTCACTGCGCTAATTCAGTGAGAGTTTGAGCCTCGTCAGTGCAGAACAAATAAAAGGAGTGAACTGGCATGACATTTTACTGCAGAAGAGAGGTCGTTTCCAGCCACTAATAAAAAGGATTTGACACAGACTAATAAAGAGAAATGAATTTCTCTAATGGCCTAATTTAGCACATTCAGCACTGGGCCTCTGCCGGGCGCAGGGGGCGGGAGGCTCCGCTGCTGTCGGTGCGGACAGTGGGAATAGGAGCAGCAGAGAGACGCGGGGCCGAGGAGAGGGGAGACGAGCTGATCTCAAATAACATTTTATTATTTCTTCTTCCTTTCCTGAGTCCCTACCCCATCCCCGCCCTCATCACCTCTCCCCAGGAGCATCTGAACCAAAATCAAGCTCAAGATACGCAGTTCCTGTTAACGACCTAAAGAAATAAGGGACCCCTCTCGGCAGAATTGCAGTCCTGTGCTAGCTTAAGAAGGTGATTAAGCCGGATGTGTTGATTTCTACAGGGGTTTAAGCCA